CTTTGTTCTGGGATGGAGTTGGCATGGATTGCTCCTGCCCTCATGCTGATCAGCCAGAAGCTCTGCTCAGAGGATAAGTCGCTCTTTGTCCCTCTGTCAACCGACTCCCTGCAGACACCCAGAGCCCACTCCTTGCCTTCCCCGACTTCCACCTCCCAGTAATGGCGGCCGGCGGAGAAGCTGGGGGTGCCCAGCACACAGGCCAGGTGGGTAAATCTCCTGGGATCAACCAGGGGGCTGTGGCAGACCTTCCCACACCGGACGCTCCTCAGATCATCAGAGAGGACCAGCAGGGAGTTGGCCGTGGCTGCATCCAGGGTCACATCCTCCCGGAACCTCAGGAGCTTCTGGCTCACGTGCAGACTCTGCTCCAGTAAGGGGAAGTGCTGCTGGATGAGGAGCGTCAGGTGTCTAATCTGCCGTTCTTTAGAAGGTGGAGCGTCAATTTCTTCCTGACACAGGGGGCAGGGCATTCTCAAATTCTCTCCTTCTCGCATCCACTTTTTAATGCAATGAGAGCAGAATGTGTGCCCACAGGAGATAGAAACAGGATAGGAGAAAAAGTCTAGGCACACTGGACAGGTCGCCTCTGCTTGCAGACTTCTAGCCATGGTCCCTGAAGGTCACTCCTTAGCAGTGGCCTGAGCCGAAATGACCCTTTGGGCTGTGGAAGCGATCATGAGCCCTTGGTACACTATCTGCTCTTAAATATCCATCATGTGTTTAAATCCAAAACAAGAATTAAACTACATAAGTATTTCTGTCATTTATGTAAGAAGGTGACATTAGGTCACCAGAGAATGGTAGTAATTTCTTTAAGAAAATTATCAAAAAGTATCTAAAATCCAGCTGATCACAAGAGAGAATAGGACAGTGTAAACTATCATTTAAGACAAGACAGCTTACTTTACTTGGAGACTTCCAGGTGACGTATTGTCTGCTCTGAACAAAGCTACTCCTTGTGGGAGCTGAGCCCAACTGGGTCTTTACTAGGATCTAGAAGTGCAGTCTCTGCCCCAGTCAATATTCCTTTGTAGATTACCTGAAGCTCAAGAAAAATAATTTCACATCTAAATCCAATTATGAAAATAAAGGCAATACTAATGCAGTCACAAAAATGTGACTCAGGAACCGTTAGAATATCACAGAAAATTACTGTATGTGAGAATTTGTGTGTGTTTTTCACATTTAAGCAAAACTAGCAAAATCTACCACAGAATGAATGACATGCTCATGATAAAATCAATTTAAGGACAAAGCATCATTAGATAAAACATTTTAAACCACACTTAAAAAGCTAATTAATCTTGTAGTGAATGTGAATAAAAATATTTTATAGTCATTGACATCAACTTCTAATCATTCCTGAACAGAAACCAAAAGTATGCTCCTGACAAGGAAGATGTCCTCCAGTTACCCCAACTGCTCTCAAAGCTTAAGCACTTGATACCCCTAGAGCTTCCTTCTAGGCCTTCTGCAGAGGCTGCTGTTCCTTGACTGAGCCAACTCTTATATGCTGGGCTTGGCTGATGGGATCAGGCTGGGCCCATGACCCAAAGACAGCTTCTTAATGCTGCACAGAGCCCCAGAGATGGTGTGAACCCAGGCTCTTCTCCAAAAAGAGCCTACATGGAATATTAACCAGTGCAACGTCTTACCAAGAATGCACAACTCACATACTAGTTATGGCTGGAGTCACAGAGTCTGGGACAGACAGAGGAGGAAGCAATGGACATTCTGAAGGCAGCCTGATGGGCTGGGTAATTAGAGCTGTCCTGAACCCCAGAACACAAGCTTTCATCTCCATCAGCACATACTGATGAAGGACCTCTGTGTCCCCACCTCAACTAGACTCTGCAAACACACATGTGTGTAGCAACAGCAGACAGGATATCTGCCCCCATGGAACCTGGAATCTTTAGAAGCCTTCCAGCTCCTGAATGGCATTCCAGTCTGCGGGGACCTGGCTGGAGACTACAGTGACAATCTTTTTTCTTAAATACCCTCATCTTCTTTTAAAAAACTCTACTTTTTAGGGCAAATTTCACATGGTACTCACCATCTACAAGAGCTTGCCCAGCCTGCTTTGGAATGTATATAAGAAAACCATTTTACAAAAGAAAAATATGCTACTGTTGTAACAAGTTGTACTTTTTAGTGCAAACTATAATCCTGAATAATCGGAAAAAATCCAGTTATGTAACAATAATGAAATGATTCAGTTAATCATAATACCACTATTGAAACAGATAAGCATATTTCAGTAAAAAGTCTTTAAGAACAATGTTAGAAAATAAAAAGGAACAATTTTAAAACAACACATACATTGTAGTTAAAAACACATAAAAATACATGTATAAAAGTACATAAAAAGTGACTTGAAGTTAGCATGTAAAATTTCAAATGGTCATGTTACAGAGGAAGGTGAGAAAACCTCCCTGAAACAGAATAGGAGTGGCTCTTTCTCTCCTAAAATCCAAATGTAAAGGCCTTGTAAAAACAAGCTGTAGCAAAAGAGTCCAGACAGAGGGGGCAACTTATCTTATCTTGAAGACTTTCAGTGAGGTCTGGAAGACCCAAGGTCTGCACCTCCACATCTTCCAGTCTTGGCTCCTCTCTGAAGCAAGCTTGAGCTCAGATACTCTGGCCTTTCACAGCCTGTGGGACTCAGTCTGTAACCCTATGAGGGTCACAGCCTCCATCCCAAGGATTGTGCTATTTAAATCTAATCAAGTTAACTTAATCGACCCTACTCCTTGCAGAATGATGTCATTAAAGCACACTTAAAATTTCATAGAACAAAATTCTGAATTTCAAAATTTCATAGTAACTCTTTGAGTTAAACTTACAAACCTATAGCCATCTGAATGAGATTCTTGAATTCAGAACTCAACTATAAAAACAAAATGTATTAAAGATCAAATACAGAAATGCACTGTTGAAACTTAATCAAATCTTGGCTAATGAAATCATTAATGCTAATATCTGTGATACAATCATAAGCGAAGAGGATCTAAGACACCTTTTACATCCTTTAACTCAGCAATTCTACTCCCAGAGGTAGTTACTAGGCAAGAAAAGAAGGATGGCTTTCAGGTAAGCCTGTTGTCCAGCCATAATTATTAATAATACCATGTATACTTTTCAAAGTGTCCTGTTGAAACAATAAATTATATAGTGTCTCTTACTGGAAGCAGAAGGATCAGTAAAAGTCATAACAGAGGAAAGCTAAGACATAATCTTCAAAAAAGGGGGTTGGATGGTTAGTGAAGTCCTGTAGGTGAGGGCCCCCCTGAACACTGCATTCTGGATAACCTGTCATTTCTCAGGGTTCCCGTTCTTTTAGCAAGGCCAAACACAGCTTTTACTGCATTTTTACCTGATACTATCTCCATTTGCATGAGTTAAATACCCATAGCAGCAAGTCTCAATTGTTTTTTATTCTAATCTGAAGACCTACCCTGTACTGGCCAACCATCAAAATAACAACAAGAACAACAACAAAAACCTGTTACAGTGGTTCCTCCCTATCCCTGGGGATTCATTCCAAGACTTCCAGTGCATTCCTGAAAGTGTGGAAAGTAGGAAACCCTATAAATACACCATGTTTTTTGCTATACATCATACCTATGATAAACTTTAACTTACAAAGTTGGCGAAGTAAGAGATTAGCAACAATAACTA